GTCTTTCCCATCATCAGGATCTTTTCCAGTGAGTCAGCTCTTCACAGCATGTGGCCAGAGTATTGGAGCTTCAGCGTCAGTCTTTCCAATGAATATTCAGGGTTAATGTCCATTAGGACTGACTGGTTTGATCTTGCAGTCCAAGGGACTCTCAAGAGTCTTCTCCAGCACCATAGCTGGAAAGCGTCAATTCTTCCCCTGACCTGCTATAATCCTACTTTCTAGGTCCAGCTCATAAGCCACCTCCTCCAGGAAGCCTGCTCTGACAGTTCTAATTCTACAAACTCCTCCTCTGCTAAGCATCTCCCATTGGCGTTTCCATGCAGGCAGACACTGTCCCCAGTGCTGCCTGTCATAAGCTCCCTGAAGACAGGACACGCCTCGTGTGTGCCCTGCCAGTAGTCAAGGCAGGATCTTGCATGGAGCACCGCAGCTGGAACGACCGGAGAAGGACCAGGTGTCTTGCAGGTGTGCGAGAACGAACGGGTGGCTCATTAATCTGCACCATAAGCAGAGAAAAAACCCCATCTCCTCCAACTCTGTAGTCAAAACATACACATGAAAGCCACTGCAGTTGTCTTATGTAGGTATGGTGCATTGCCTGGGTCCAGATCAATTCCACACTATCAGTATGTATTGATGTTTTTCTCACTTGTGGTTGGCTTTATGCATTTAGTGTTTGGTGAGTCAACTCATTGGACGTCACATTGTTGGCCGTTGGCCCCCACACTGCTGTCAGCCTTGTGCTGGGAAGACAGGGAGGGGAGCAGATGTGCCCTGCCCACCGGGGACTTACAGCTCACCATCAGCTCACACACCAACGTCTTCTTGCACTTATACACACCTGACCCTGGGCTGCAAGACTCTGGGGAAAGAAAACAGAATAATAGGATACCATCTCTGTCTTGGGGACTTACTATCTGATGGGGACGCAGCTAAACCAGGTTCAAGGCACTCAGGTCATCAGCTTCTCAGAGGATCTGATGAAGGGCTTAGATAACAGGCTTTATTTGATGCTGTTCTGAGACAAGAACACTTGAAAGCATGGAGTAGTGACAGTTCCCTGGTGGCCTCGTGGTTAGGATTCCAGGTTTTCACTACCATTGCCCAAGTTCAGTCCCTGTTTGGGGAACCAAGGTCCCACAAGCTGTGTGGTGGCACAGCAAAAAATAAGTCAGTAAATAAACTTTTAAAAAGTAAAGAAAAAAGTTGTAGGGATGTTTTGAGGGAGTAATAACCCTTTACACCTACCTCCACCTCCCTGATCTCCTACCTGCTGTCTCATATTTTCATTTCCTTTTGTAAGAAAATAAAATATTTCATTTCACAGAAATGAGGCTTAGAGAACTGACTTAAACGAATATCCTATTCCTGATGGAGGGGTAAGGAAAAGCAGGAGAGAACCCGGGGCATGCCCGTTTTACAGATGAGGAGACTGAGGCTCTGTACAGAATGCTCAGCAGCTTGGCTCAGCTCACAGGGCAGGCGGCAGCACTCCAGCCCAGACCTCCTGGGTTCAGACATCCCTCTCTCCTGCTCTTCACTTCCTTCTGCCTGCCAACTCAGGGCCCGAGTTACAGGGTATTTGGGGCCCTCTGCTACCTCAGGGGATCCCAGCAGTATCAACTGTCGTGAAGCCAGGTGGAGAGAGGCTGAGGGGGAACGCTGGTGTGAGGCCACCTCCAGGCAGGCTCCCCGGGCCCCGCCAGCCCCCCAGCCTGTGTGCAGCACCAACCCCTGCTCCTGCAGAACCTGCTGGAAGCCACAGAACCACCATGTCTGGAGCCAGGGAGCGGTGCGAAGGAAACAAAGATCGTGACCCCCCCTCTGGCTGAGGACTCAGAAGGCGACCCGCCTACTGGGGGCAGTGGCTGGCTCCGCAGCGGCATGGAGAGTGGGCAGTGTGGAATGTGCCTGGCCCAGACAGTGCCCAGGATACTACAAAGCTTCCCACTGGCCTCTGCAGGTCCCACCAGCCCCAGCGAGCATGTTTCTCCTGCTCACAGCTTCCCTAACGAAGCCGGGTTTCCCTCTGCCACTACTTTGCCTTTCCGAAAAGGGCAGCAGGGAAAGAATGACAAGATTTGGGGGAATCTTCCAAAAAGCCGTTGCCTGACCCCCAGAGCTGGATAGAGCAGACAGAGATATGAAGTCGGACCTTCTTGGTTTTCAGAGCAGGTTTCAGCATCTTCAGATTCACCCCCTTTTCCCCTCTTAGGAAAACCTGCTTTTACAAAAAGAATAAATCACAGCCTGGAGGTTTAAGTGAGTGCGAGTGTCTTGTAATGTTATCTTTTATCGGGGGGCCAGGAAACCTTTTGACAGGAATGACTCCACAGGGGTGGCGTTTAGGCATAGCTGGGACACAGAACAGGTACCTCAGAGGAGAGAGCTCCTCTTCACTCCCAACACCGGGCTGGCTAGAAGAAACTTCCTTTGTCCTTGTTCCAGTTCAGTCGGACAGTTCTTCACGTACCTGCCACACGGTACTCTAGGGAGAGGTGGCCCAGCCCGCCAGCATATCTTCCTGGGGACCATTCACCTCGATTTTGCCATCTGCCTCCCTTTGTTCACACACACGTGAACTCCTCATCGTCCCCATAAGTTCACCCAAGGCTAGAAGCCATCCCTTACCCACATCACTCTTATCAGCGTGGTTGATGACCATGAACTTTCTGTTTGACCTTGGAATGAGTTTTTGCATTTGATTATCAGGGGGTGGGTCCAATATTTAGATTTTGACCTGCAGTGAGATCTCATGACACGCCTGGAAAAAACCACAGCACTTAATGCTGAGCCTAGGCCGGGAAGGCCTTGTCCCCGGACACCAGGAAGACACACGGTCCCCTCTGCTCCTGCACTAGCTGCCTGAACTCCGAGAATGGGCAGATCCCCTTTTCCCTGCCAGAAATTCCTCAATGCCTACACAGTGGGAGGCAACAGAGGGTGTGCATGCTGTCACTTCAGTCATGTCCTACTCTTTTTGACTTCATGGACTGTAGCCCGCCAGACTCCTCTGTCCATGGGATTCTCCAGGGAAGAATACTGGAGTGGGTTGCCATTTCCTCCTCCAGGGGACCTTCCTGACACAGGGATCGAACCCACATCTCCTGCATTGGCAGGTGGGTTCTTTTCCACTAGCACTGTCTGGGAAACCCCCAACAGAGGGTGTGAGATGTCTATAAAGCACAATAGGTTGGAATAGAAGCCCCCCTCTTCAATTAAAGCTGAAATGTGGCTAAAGCCTTTAACTGTGTGGATCACAACAAACTGGAAAATTCACAGAAGGGGTCATCAGCAGACGGTTGGATAGCATCACCAACTCAATGGACATGTGTGTGTGTGTGTACTTAGTCATGTCCAACTCTTTGCAACCATTCAGGACTGTCGCCTGCTCCTCTGTCATTGGGTTTTCCAGACAAGAAGAGTGGAGTGGGTTGAGTTTGAGATGGAGATGGTGAAGAACCGAGAAGCCTGGTGTGCCACAGACCATGGGTTGCAAAGAGTCAGACATGACTTAGTGACTGGACAACGACAGCAATGTGGCAGAAATCCGTGGCCTTTCTCAATAAAGTGCAAAACAAGACTCATTCACACACGCGCAGCTGGGTATCGTTGAGAAAATCCTGGGGATCAGTGGATCAGTATTTTGCAGAAATAAAACCAAAGGGCTGCTTACGGGTTGTTGAATTGCCACACCCTAAAGGGGCCGCATGTCAACTTCAGTTCAGCATCTGAGTCGCTAAACTGAGCCCAGAAATCAAGGCTCTTCACTGTACCAGATGGGCAGGAGACGACTGGAGGCGGCATTGTGGGCAGAGCCTAGGCAGGGACTCGGAGACCCGGCCTGACTGCACAGAGGGGGTGGTGGTGCGGTGGGGGCAACTAGTGAGAAGCCCCCTGCACCTGCTGTGCCACAGGTGAGGATGCTCAGGCCAGCTCCGCCCGACGGTCCGTGTGTGGAGGTGCAGCCTCCTCATCCCCCCTCCTCTCGGAGGACTTGGTGTTTCCTGAGGTTGGTGCTTTCCTTACGAAGGGGCAGACCAGGGCAGCCCCCTCTCTCTGGGTTCTTTGCACATTTTGGCTTTCATGAAAGATACTTCTATGGGCATCTTTTGCAAGAAGGCTTTGTGGATGCCTGTTTTCCCTTCTCTCGAGTATATTTGTACAGGTGGAAGTTCTGATTATGATGTTGTGATTTATGACATGTAGGTTTGGTCATTCAGATAAGTAATACAGGACTTCCACTCACACCTTTTTTGGCAAACCTGATCTCAAGGACTTGCCTAGCTACACAGTGGCTGAGAAATTAGGGGAACATGTGGCTATTAATGTAAAGCTATTAAGAGTGAAGAAAGAATTGTTGTTGTTGTTGCTAAGTTGCATCCAACTCTTTGCAACCCCATGGACTGCAGCACACCAGGTTCCTCTGTCCTCCCAGAGTTTGCTCATATTCATGTCCACTGAGTCAGTGACATCATCCAACCATCTCATCCTCTGTTGTCCCCTTCTCCTCCTGCTCTCAATCTTTCCTAGCATCAGGGTCTTTTCCAATGAGTCAGCTCTTCTCATCAGGTGGCCAAAGTATTGGAGCTTCAGCATCAGTCCTTCTAAGGAATATTCAGGGTTGATTTCCTTTAAGGTGGACTGGTTTGATCTCCTTGCTGTCCAAGGGACTCTCAAGAATCTTCTCCAGTGGTACAGTTTGAAAGTATCAATTCTTTAGCGCTCAGCCTTCTTTGTGGTCCAACTCTCACATCTATACGTGACTACTGAAAAAACCATAGCTTTGACTATATGGACCTTTGTCAGGAAAGTGATGTCATTGATTTTTAATAAGCTGCCTAGGTTTGTTATAGCTTTCCTTCCAAGGGTTCGTGTTAGGGATTATGTCGGTATAATCTCCACCATGCAACTGTATGTGGAAATTAAAATGAATACAAGTGAAAATATAATTGAAAAAAATAAAAAGACAACCACACTCTGCTTTGTTTCCACAGCTCGGGAGCCTGGCCCAGCACTGCCCCTCAGTGCCAGCAACTGGACTGGGCAAGATTTTCAGCAAGGCATGGCTACCCGCCAGGTAAGTGAAGACCTCCCCACACCCCACAGGGAACCAGAGGAGTCGGGTGGGGAGCCTCTCTGAGCGGAGGTGCCGCCTGGTTCTCTTCTCATTTCGTAGCCTGTCACTAGGGGGTCTCTGTCTCCAGGGCATGGTCCCTCCCACAGCAGAAGGGTCAGCTGGTCCACGTGAAGGTGGACCAAGCAGAGGCCTCAGTTTACCCCCAGGTACCAGGCAGCTCGGGGGCAGAGTGTTGTTGGGGTGCTCACTGGCTCACCCCTGGGGGTCTTGGCATCATGTGGGTACCCTCCAAAAAGAACCAAAGAGCAGGAAAGAAACAGTTCACCAAAGTGAAAGGTGGATCTGAGACTGATGTTTAAATTCAGTCTTTTTTTTTTTTGCTGAATTGGTCCAAGTTGGATGAGTGTCCATGCCCCTCCTGGGATCTCACTCACCTCAGGAGGTAACCAGGGCAGAAAGCAGCATGGAAGAGCGCCTGTTCTCGGGCATTTCCCATGCGATGCCGCTCCCCGTCACCACGTTGCACCATTTACCCTCCAGCCCGCCTTGGGAATCGGCCCAATTTTTATCCCTACACAAGTGGAGGAGGTTGAGCAACTCGTCACAGGAAGACAAGGACTGGGAGCCCAGTTCAGATCTGAGTGACGCCAGAGTCTCAGGGCTTCCCTAAAACTCTCTGCATGGAGTGAGTTTACAGGGACCTAAAGCATCATGGCAGGACCCTGGGAGGATGACCAAACAGAGCCCGCTCCAGGCAGTGGACAGCACGTGGCCAAGCCAGAGCACCCTCGGAGAAAGGACCCCTGAGATTCCATAGTGGTCCCTCCTTTATCCCCAGACCCCACGCTTGGGCACAGGGCCCCCATTCCAGGATGCCATGGACACAGAACTCACACTTACTCAGACACGTGGAGAAGGTTCCCAACTCATGCTGGGGGCCAGGCTGCACTTGAGAGCCCCCGGGACCCCTGTAAAGTGCTCTCTCCCTCCCTCAGAGCCTATAGACCACCTCCCTGAATGTGAAAGCTTAGTTCTTGCAGACAGGTAGTTACTGCTTTGGAAGCTTTTGGACAGAAGCCATAGCACTTGATGGAAGATAAGATTTTCCATCTGTTTCTAAAATCCCTCACTATCTCCTGTCATTTGAGAGTGAAGGTCATACAGCTGTCATCCTGATGGGAGCCTTTGAGTCATTAGGTTTTGATATCATGACTTTTGTGAAAGGATGGTTGGGGGGCAGGGATCAGAGGCCAGGAGAGGTCTGAGGGTACTCTGCAGACACAGCCCCCGCCTCTATCCACTCAGCATCACCTGGAGGAGGTACTGATCTCAGAAGGTTGCCCTGGCAACAGAGCCAGCTGTGGCGTGATCAGGATCCCAGGAGGGGAGGGGAGGCTGCCCAGAAGGGGCTGGGAGCAGAACACTTAGGGGGCTTGCCTGAGGGTCACTGAGCTGGGTCAGCAACCCTGAGTCACAAACAGGTGGGCTCATGGAGGAGACACCACGTTGTCCTTGTTCAGTTGCCACGTCGTGTCCAACTCTTCCGGACCCCACAAACTGCAGCACGCCAGGCTTCTTTGTCCCTCACCATCTCCCGGAGTTTGCCCAAGTTCATGTTCATTGAGTCAGTGATGCTGTCCAACCATCTCATCCTCTGTCACCCTCTTCTCCTTCTGCCTTCAGTCTTTCCCATCGAGTCTTTTCCACAAAGACACCACAGGTGATGGCAGATTCTCTGGTAAAGTGATGGGAACTCACTGTCTCCATCAGGCAGATGAAGACGACTTTCTCAGGCTCTCCAAACATGAGGGAGAGTGGACTGAAATCATAGGTGATGCTCTTGGCCTACAAGAGGGCAAGGATGCCTGCGGGGGTGCTGGGTGGGGGGGACCACGGCATCCCACATAGCATGTGTTGCCTGAGAAGGCCACTCCTTACCCCTCCACCCACTTGGGAGAAGATGCCCAAACCTCACAGGATAGAGGGAGGTCAGCAGGAGCCCTTTGAGACTGCAGCTGGAGATGGTTAAAATCTGCTAGCTGGGTACCAAATATCTGAATCCACATACTATGGTTTTGATCATCATCTTTAGTGGTTAAAACTTAGCATGAAGGTTTCAAAGAATATAGGGACTATAATGGTCTCTCATAAGGTAATATCCACAACAGGGAAGGATGAGAAAAATCAGGGCTGAAAATCTGGTTAAGAGACAATGATGGTGGGTGTTGAGTAAAACTCTCTCATGGTTAAGCATATTCCAGAAGACAAGTGAAAGTAAAGTGTGTCTGACTTCACTAATGAAGACAGATTACGTACCTTTGCCTCCACGTTAGCACCTGTTTCACCCAGCGCTTTCAGGTGCTGCTTTCAGGAAAAAGAGCAGTTTCTTTCTTCCACTTACAGATCATCTACGATATGTAAGGCACTCCACTGCGTTTCCTTCTGAGAGTGTGGATAAATTCTGTTTGACTCAGCCAAGCTCATATCAAGCTTGAGGTCTGGAGGTAGTCCCATAGCCAGACCACCCAGCGTGCTCCTGCTTAGATACTTCTTAGAGGTACCTGTGTCTCTTAAAGCTAAACATCTGGTCACAGGGCAAGATAACCGTGTTTCTTTGGTAAGTCACTGGAAGCAGCGTGATTTGACTAATGAGTCAGGTTGTTTATTGATCACAGAGAGCAGCACCTGAAAGTGTTAGTTGCTCAGTCATGTCTAACTCTTTGCGACCCCTTGTTCACGGGATTCTCCAGGCAAGAATACTGGGGTGGGTTGCCATTCCCTTCTCCAGGGGATCTTCCTGACCCAGGGATCAAACCTGGTCTCCTGCACTGCTGGTAGATTCTTTACCATCTGAGTCACAAGGGAAGGCCACGCCTGTAGCTATACTGTTTGCTCAAACCTCAACACAGATAACAATAACAATTATAACTATCAAAGCTTCCAGGTTATCTTGCCAGTTGACCCCTGAGACCAGAGGTTTAGATTTAGGAGATGCAGGTACCTCTAAGAGTATCTAAACACAAGCACGCTGGATGGTCTGGTTGTGGAACCACCTCCAGACCTCAAACTTGATATGAGCTTGGCCAAATGAAACAGAATTTACCCATCCTCTCATCAGGGAATGCAGTAGAGTGCTTTGCATACAGTAGGAGATCCATAATTGGCTGAAATATCTGCCCTACTTATCAGGGTGGTGACCGCACCATTCAAATGCAAGTGACAATTTTCATATGACATTTACCAAGTCCTGTGTGAATCAGGCTAACCACATCTTCTGACCTGATTTAGCTCGGAATTGGTTTTTGTGTCTAATCTTAATAGCCTAGCTTCCAGGCTGTCAATCAAACAACAGATTTACTGAGCCCCTTCTGGGTACCTGGCACAGAGCGGGATGCTGGGGAGGCCACGATGGGTAAAACAAAGGCCCTGCTCTCGACATGGTCCCAACATGGTGACAGGTGAACCTGTAACCACAAGAGAACAAGACAGGCGTTAGAGACAGAGCAAGGTGCTGGCCAACTCCAAGGAAGCACCCACATGTGCCGGAGAGTCAGAGCTGGTTTCAGTTGGATGGGGAATGGATTCTGATAGACAAGAGGGATTTGGCCAAGCTGGAAGGGACGACTGCAGGTACAGAGCGACACGTCCTAAAGGGCTAGTAGTAGAGTGTCATTTATACACTCATGAAATTCCCATGGAATAGTGAATCCTAGTTAGGAGACATAAAGTCCTTTGAGAGTCTGATTTTTTTAAATGATGTCCCCAGCCCCCACGAAGCCACCCTTGGACTCCTGTTTAGAAAATCCTCCTGTAGGATATAAAGATTTAGAGTCTAGAAACCTGGCTTTATCTCCTCCTCCGTCGACATTTATCTTTGGTTCTTCACATCTCTGAACCTTGGGTTGCACATCTGTAAATAGGGCTCACGGATTCCCGCCTAATTCACAAGGTAGATGAGAATTAAAATCAAGTGAGGCCATGTAGGTAAAGAGTAGTCTAAACTCTAAACCTTCTGAAAGCCATGTATGAATTTTAGAGAAAATATTAGAGAACGAATGATAACACAGTGATAACTAATGATAACACAAGGGCTTCCTTTGTGGCTCAGCTGGTAAAAAATCTGCCTGCAATGTGGGAGACCTAGGTTCGATCCCTGGGTTGGGAAGATCCCCTGGAGAAGGGAAAGACTACCCTCTCCAGTATTATGGCCTGGAGAATTCCACAGGGATCACAAAGAGTCGGACATGACTGAGCGACTTTCACACTTTCACACAATGATAACATCACAGGAGGAAAAGAGGCTCAGCCCACAGGAGCCCTGAGAATCTCAAAGGCAGTGGCAGTTCTGCAGGATTTTAAGTCTGGGACTAGATCAAGCTCATACACTTCAAAAAATCCCCAGAGAGTTTGTGGAGGATGGAGGGGTTCAGAGAGTCAGGGGAATTCAGGTCTGAGACAAGGAAACCCTGAGAAACTATTGAGTTACGCGGGACAAGGCTTACACCCAGACTTCAGGGGAAAACACACTGAAACAAAGTGCTTGGAAAGAGAGAGATGTGTCTGTGTCTTTACTCAGAGCGGCTCCTAAAGCAGGCCACCCCGGGATCCTAGGAAAAAGAGGACCCACATCTCGGCTGCCTCTAAACCCCAGCCCCCTGCGACACGTGACCTCAAGCTCAGGCTTCCTACTGCTGAGATCAGTTTAAGAGCACTTTGTTTCTTTTGAAAAACCACCAGTCACTCGGACAACCCCTAAATGCTTCACCGTTCTCCATTCCTTATGTCAGATCTAGACAGAGATGGAGTTCAGGTCAGAGAGTTGGACTAGAGTAACCTGGTACCCAGCCCTTCCAGTGAGTGGTCCCTTTGAGCATACTCACTCTGCTTCCATGAGAAACTTCTTTCTTCCCCTACTTAAAGCAAAGTGGTGCTGAAGAAGACTCTTGAGAGTCCCTTGGACTGCAAGGAGATCAAACCAGTCCATCCTAAAGGAAATCAGTCCTGAATATTCATTGATAGGACTGATGCTGCAGCTAAAACTCCAATACTTTGGCCACCTGATGCAAAGAACTGACTCATTGGAAAAGACCGTGATGCTGGGAAGGATTGAAGGCAGGAGGAGACGGGGACGACAGAGGATGAGGTAGTTGGATGGCATCACTGACTCGATGGACATGAGTTTGAGCAAGCTCCGGGAGTTGGTGATGGACAGGGAGGTCTGGCGTGCTACAGTCCATGAGGTCACAAAGAGTCGGACACGACTGAACTGACTGACTTGAAGCATGCTTGCAAGCTTGCTCAGGCCGGGAGCTGACTCTGAGCCCAGTGGGGGCCCTCAATATACTATATAAGTCCCAGGTCACGGTCTAGGGCAGTGGCTCAGGTCTCAAAAAGCGCGGGCAGCCAGCACTTTCACTGTGAGAATCCGCCATCCGGCCCCACTCTAGGCTGGAAACTCATCACTACGTGGAAAGGCAAAGGGCAATGTTATTTCCACTCACCATGTATTTGCTACATCACTGGTTTCCTATTTCAGCACGTTTAAAAAATTTCCCTTCGGGGAGAGTGCTGAGGTGCCTTCGTTGTGAAATATGGTTAACACAAGGTGCTTTTTTTTTTCACGACGTCACTCAGACTGGGTCTCTGTGTATAGGAAAACTAAAGCCTCTGTGACTGTACAGTCCCCTGGGATGTCGAAGAAATGCAGAGAAGAGGGAAGGGATGGGTAAGGGGAAGAGCAGTGAAATGTGAGGGGAAAGAAAAAACAGTGTCTAGACCAAGATCAAAATGTTGAAAAGCACTTGGCGGGGGCAGCATTCTAAAAAAAAGAAACCTACCTACTTCCTCTTGCTGGTCATGGCTTATCTATGTGTCCATAGATTTTAAAGCTGAAATGACTAAATGTCTGACAGGTTTAGATCTGTTACTCTCAATATAGTTGAGAGTAACTCTCAACTATATACTCTCAATATAGCTTGTAACATCAGATTTTAAATATTCAAATATTTTGCTCAAATCATCAGAGGCTCTGTATTAATGTTTTTATGTGCTCTAAAGCTGCAGGTAACTAAGGTTGAAATGAGGCCAGCAGTCAGAGCATTGCCCTCCTGTGTTTAAATAAATGCTTGGAATCAGCTGACATTTAATAAGATGTCGGCTTTCTGGCTTTTTAAATAGCTGGCAGGGACGCTGGGCCCACATTTCTGTATGGGGCCGGTAGGCCATCCCTTTGAACACAGAAAGGCTTCTGCCATTTTTCCACAGACCCCCACCACTCCCTATTACACGCCACAATCGTTCACTTTTCCCCCTGGCCCCTCAGGCATTTGAGGGTGCAGTTTCTGGGTCGGCAGTGAGGCAGGCTCTGCTGGGTGGGTGTAGTCAAAGTTGTCCTTTGTACTCGTGAGCTTTTGTCCCTCCAACATATGGAAATAATGAGGCATTTCCAAATAAACTCAGAGACAACCAAAAGACATTTATTTATCTATTTTTAAACAAGGTGGGCTTTTTCAAATTTATTTAACCATAGTTGATTTACAATGTTGTGTTAGTTTTAGGTATACAGTTTCAGATTCTTTTCCATTATAGGTTATGACAAGATACTGAATATAGTGCCCTGTGCTACACAGTAAATCCTTGTTGTTTATTTTACATAAAGTGGTGAAAGTGAAAGAAAGGGAAGTTGCAAAGCAGCCCCATGGACTGTAGCTTACCAGGCACCTCCTTCCATGGAATTTTTCAGTCAAGAGTACTGGAGTGGGTTGCCATTTCCTTCTCCATATATAAAGTGGTATGTGTCAGTTAATAAACACAGTAGGGAGTTCTAGTTCCTGGGTCCTGTGGTTTGAGTACCAATTTCTCTACCTGAGGCTTCCAGGGTCTCTTTATCTAGGGGCTTCGCTGCTGGCTCAGATGGTAGAGAATCCACCTACAATGCAGGAGACACCAGTTCGATGTCCCTGGCTGGGAAAGAGCCCCTGAAGGAGGGGATGGCTACCAACTCCGGTATGCTTGCCTGGAGCATTCCATGGACAGGGGATCCTGCGGGCTAGTCTATAGGGTGGCAAAGAGTCAGACACAGGCGGACTGAGTGACGAACACTTCTCTACCCTGGTTCCCTCCCTGAATAGTTAAGTAGCCATCAGCCAAGACCTGGAAAGGCTTAATGCACACACCCCCAGGCTTCACCCGGGGCCCCATCGTTTCTGGACCGGAGCTTGTGCTGAGCGTAACTAAGTGGAGGCAGTGGGAGGTGTCGGGTGGGTGGAAAGGTCAGGAGGCAGAATGGTGCTAACCAGTGGGAACTCTTCATCAGGGCGCTCCGTCAAAGATTCGTGCCACATCATTGATTTCTGGAGAATACTGAGTATTGAAAATGTTCACGTTTGCTTTAAATAATAGAAACGGGTCCTTAAGCCCCAGTACAGCTTTATTCAAACAACACATCTGAATTAAACAGAAGGTTCCCTGTATAAAAGATCTGCCTCCAAGAGTCAGTAGTTCCGCCTTTAGGATGGAAGGAATGTGAGCATAAATTTAAAGCAACCGCAAAACTGGCCAAGCAGACAGCCATCTTGGTTGGCTAATTTCAGAGTAAAACAGAAGAGTTGCCCACCTCCCCTTCTCGCCTTCCAAGCACGCACGTAGGCACGTATGCACCCACGTAGACACGCACGCACGCACGCACCCACGTAGACACGCACGCACGCACACTGAGGTCATCCATGTCTGCCGGAAACTGAGTGAATGACCAGGAAGTGAACAACCAACAGGAACTGAGTGGTCCCAGCTTTGTAAGAATCGCAAGAAGAAGATGCTGGAATCAAGTCATGCGTTTCCACGGCCTGCGCCTTGCAGCTGGTGTTGACTCCCCGTGCTGCAGAATCATGCTGTGCAGGAAAACCGCTGATTTGGAGTCATACGTTTAGATTTCACTGCAGGCTAAACCTGACTACTACAACCTTTAGGGAAAACTTTTCCCAAGTAAATAAGTCCGAGCTTCCCACCCGTGTGCCACAAATGAGTGACAGCGATGCCACCTCACTGCTCCACTCGGCTGCCCCGCGCCTGGGGGCCCAGCCAACCTGTTTGCAGCCTTAGTTCACCTCCTGGGGACACGAAGAGGTTTGGGAAGCGTTGCCTTAGGTTAAAATTCTCGCAGAAATTCTGAACAGTTACATTATCAACATGTATTCGCTATTCACTGACGCAGGACCAACATTTCTTGACTGATGATGCTTTATTGTAAATCCAGTTTTGAAGGAAAAAACAAACAACAACTTGCAGTTAGCCTCTTCACTGTTTTCTCTCCTAATTTCCACCCCAGTTAAGCCAGACTCCTGGTGACTTGCTGTTCTGAGCTGTGACTCCTCACATCCTATCTGTCTACCGACCACTGTCCCTAAGAGACTCATTCCTACTCTCTTCCACCCAGGAAAGGCCTGGCGTCCGCCATGTCCCTCCAGCAGCTGGACCTGCCCACCCAGCAGAGAGAGTCTATCCTCCAGAGCCCCGTGGTGCTGATTCAGGGCCCCAAGACCAAGGAGAGGCACTTCTTCCTCTTCAGGGACTGGCTGGTCGTCGCCAAGCAGAGGTAAGTCACACGACCGGCACCATCTTCCTGTCTGTGAAAAGGCACTTTCTTTCCAAGTCCCCACTGCCTGAAAAAGCATCTCAAAGAGAGCTCCCCCTTCGTTTGACAAATGAGACCAAGAGACCGGAGAGGCTGCCTGCCTCGGGAAACATCACAGATGTAGCAGGTAGAAAGCTAGGGCAGTTAGAGTATAGGAGAGTCATCATTTAAAAAAAACCTCTTAGTGAACTTGATCTTTTGGGTTGCTAAGAAGTGCATAGAGTGTTCACAGCAACAAATTTGAAATCAGAAATTTAGAAACTCAGTAATTAAGTTAATGTTAATTACCATGATAATCATTTTTCTCTTTGGGGGAAAATATGCAATTACACGTCTTCAACATTTGTATTAGATCAGGAGAGGCTACATCAAAAGAAGTGCAGTATTAATTTTCTGGCTGTAGGCTGACTGTGTATCAGCAATGCCTCTTGATTTCTTTCCCATTCCCCGGAAGGAACACGCATCTGTATGCTCCTTTGCCTCAACCTGCTCTGGGAAGAGAGAGAAGGAGAAAGACCAGGTCCGTCTACCCAGCTTCTCACAAGGAGCCTGTCCCTTCTTTCCTCCCCCCGCCACAGTGTCTGATAGATTAGCTGCACCCAAGTGAAAAATGGGACCAATGGGCACCCGGCAACTAAGTAACTCTCTTCATCTCCTCCGGGAAGGGGGAGGAGAGTGCCCAAGAGGCTGCTAGTGGGTGAGGAATACCCCCAGCAGAGCCAGGGAGATGGCCTGGACCAGTGGGGATAAACCACCCAGTGGGCAGCACACTGCCCCACCTTGCCACCTCCCTGCCCTACCCTCCTGTTCTTTGGTTTGAGGGGGTTCCTCTCCTCCTTCCAGGGGGCCCTTAAAGCTTAAAGGGAATGAAAAACAACCTCTCCTGCGTAGGGGCAAGGGGAGCCCTGGCCTTGTGCAGTTTCCAAGGTGGCAGCCCAAACAAGGAGCGGTGACAGGAGCCACCAGGCCAGGCCACCAGTTGGCTTTGGCTGCAAGAGGATGTCCGATTCTGAGTGAGGGACACAGTGGCCCAGAGGACAGAACCCAGGGCGCCCGGGGCGTGACCCCCTGACCACGAACGAACCTGAGCTCCAGTTCGAAGCCCAGGGCGGTGACTACCCGGAAGAAAGTCACCTGGAGCCTAGTCGGGTTGGTCTTCTGCAAACGAGCTGTGCCTGCCGGCTTCTGAGTCTTTTATTGCCACGGCAGAATTCAGAGAGCACTAGACTCAAGTGTGTTACTGGGCCCGAGTGCCTGGGGAACACCCACCTCACTTTCGGAACTGAGCACCTGCCAGGCACAACATACGTGTCAGCTGGCTTAATCCTCCCAATCCATTTCACAGATGAGGAAGGTAAAGCTCAGAGAGGCTGAGTACTTGTCGCAAGTCCCCCAAGAGGAAGTAGCAGAAGCAAGCCTAACACTTGCACCCCGTTTCTCAGAGGACTGCACCCGGATCCTGGAGGGAAGCTCTCTGACTTGAGCTGCACTTCCCAGGGGCACATGCACATCAAATAGGATTCCATGGATTTTTCAGAAAGAAAAGGGCTCAGGGGATGTGTGACAGCCTTCCACAAATTCCACACTGGCAAAGGAAAGCTGGGATGGGGTTACTGCATATAGACCTTCGAGACTTGTGGGATCGATTCTTCAGGGAACGCATGGGCCCCCAGGGGGAAGTCCTGATGTCCACAATCAGTGCAGGGTCTTCATGCAAAGTGCAGGCCAGAGTCTTGAAAAAGATTTGAGAGCACCGGGGTCGTCTGTGCAGCAGTGGAGGGAAAGACCCTCCTTTGCATGGATGATGACTGGGGAGGTGGGGGCATTGTACTTCTGTCTTATAGGAAGGAAAGCATTTGCAAATTTTTTATACTTTCATTTAATTTCCCTTGAAAAGTTCTATTTTAAGCTTTGGGGGGAAACGTGCCTGTTTTAAAGAGCTTCTCACACCTACCCACCGTGATTAATTTTCTTAGATGCTTAGAGATTTCAAAGAATTCAAAACGCATCTGGCATCCTCCCCTCATATTCCTCCCAGCCAGGGAAGTATTGTTTTCAGAGCCCTGAGAAATCCCCCGAGGCACAAACAGCAGCTGGGGAAGTCCTGCCCAGCACATCCCGAGAAAGTGAAGCGGCCCCTTCCTGCCTGGTGAGCACAGAGCGCCGTGAAGGCTGCTGAATCATTCCTCGCTTTCATTCAAACACCCCGAGTCCTTCCTCAAAAGGCTCGCTCCTGCCCGCAGTCAGGGGAGAAACCCCGAAGGGGGCATCTGTTCAGAAGGACAGTCAGCCACACGGGCTCTGCACCAAGGGGGGCGCTGTGGATCGGCTGCAGGCCCCTGGTCACAGCATCCCAGAGACCTTGCCACACCCGACCACGTGGCTTCCCCAGCTTCAGGGCTGCAGCCAAGCCCAGACCTGAGCCTTCACACACCGCTCAGAAATGATAACACAGGATCCCTCTTCCTCTTCCCAAAGGAGTCAGGTTGACAGCACTTTCTGAGTAGGTGGATCAGATGTCCACACGCTCCCACGGCCCAGCCCTCGAACCCACTGCGTCTCCTCTAGTGGACCTTGTGCCTCTGTCCCAGCTGTTCTTGCCACCTGGAAGGCTGCACCCCTCTTCCAATGGCCAGCTCTCGCCCAGGCTTAGGGACACAGCTCAAAGCATGCGCTCTGAAACTGCACTGTTCTGTATGCCTCAGTTTTCTCATCTGTAAAGTGGCAATAAAAACAGCACCTCCCTCACAGAGTGGCTTGGGGTGGGGATGAAAAGGGTGGCTACATGTACAGAGCTTAGAATGGGTCTGGCACTCATATTAAGCCAGGAGTCCCCAATCTTTTTGGCACCAGGGCCTGATTTTGTGGAAGACAGTTTTCCTGCGGGCTAGGGAGTGGGGACTGGTTTCAGGATGATTCTCATAAGGAGCGCACACAACCTGGATCGCTCGTAAGCCCAGCTCACAGTCGGGTTTGTGCTCCTTTGAGAATCTAATGCCCCCGCTGATTTGCTCATGCGAGCAATGGGAAGCAGCTGTAAATACAAATGCAGCTTTAGTCACCCGCCACTCACCTCCTGCCGTGTGGCCATGGACCAGTAGTGGTCCATGACCCAGGGGACGGGGACCCCTGTGTGAAGCATTTGCTATGAGGAACAGTTACTTTCTCAAGTGCTTTCCAGGAAGGATTCTGAGGTCCCACCCTTGGCCCAAAGAGAGCAGAGAAGAAAGGACATAGCCCTCACTAGCCTGGAAGTTAATTGTTAATAATTAATTAACTAGTCGCTACTGTTATTGTAGAGGGTCTGCTCTGCCCTAGTCATTCTGCTATGTCTGGTGGTGATAGAGTCCAAGTTCTCAGGCTCTTTATAATCTGATAGGAAAGGTACAGTGGACAGAAGGGAAGGAATGATGACTGATTCTTGAGTCTACTTTAGTTTGGATTGTTGTTTTTAATTCAAAGAGTGCAACTCCTCTATGTTTGGAAAGTATAGTCAACTTATCTAATTTAGTTTAGAATGTTCTACTGTGTTTTTAGGATGTAGTCGGTACCATGTTCAACTGTGCATAATGAGCGATTTTAAAGAAAGTTTTGCTATACTTTTACAGGGTTCGATATCTGATTTTTAGAACCGTGAGCCGCATGGTTACTTTCCGATCGGTGTGATTAGCATCAGTGAGTGAAAATCTATGACAGTCTCAGCAGCATATTGACAAGAACACGCCCTTTGCCTCCACAGCCAAAGGGAAATGTCTTCAGTTGCATTTTACTATAAATAGCATGAGACACAAAGAAGTTAAGTGCATTTCATAACATGCCCAGTTCTTTTGAAATGTCCTTTTACCCCAAGCAGTAGCAGTCCGTGGGTGATAATCACCACCCCCGGGACTGGCTGAAGAGTCTGGGGTGAAATGAAAATGTGGGGTGCTTGGTTCAATGAGCAGAAAATGAAACCTAGCCCCGGGGTCTTCTGAGCGTGGGGTCACCGTGCAGGTCAAATGTTTGTTCGTGGCTCTGGTTCTGGCTATCCCCCTTATGGAGTTGATGTATATTTTAGTATTGACATTAATGTATTAACATATTTAAGGAACTTCCAAGCCTAAGGCCTTTACTTGACATATTTACCAGCACTTACCAATACTTAACAGGACTTCCCTGTAGCTCAAACCGTAAAGAATCTGCCTGCAATGCAGGAGACCAGGGTTCAATCCCTGGGTTGGGAAGATCCTCTGGAGAAGGTTATGGCAACCCACTCCAGTCTTCCTGCCTGGAGAAGCCCATGGATAGAGGAGCCTGGTGGGCTGCAGTCCATGGGGTGGCAAAGAGTCGGACATGACTGAAAGGACTTAGCACACAGGGACCCAGCCTGCTGAGTATTGCAAACATAGTATGTGCTTGATTTGGGGCTTCCTTTGTGGCTCAGCTGGTAAAGAATCTGCCTGCGATGCGGGAGACCTGGGTTCGATTCCTGGGTTGGGAAGATCTCCTGGAGAAGGGAAAGGCTACCCACTCCAGTATTCTGGCTAGGGGAATTTCATGGACTGTATAGTCCGTGGGTTGCAAAGAGTCAGACCCAACTGAGCAACTTTCACTTCCTGCCAGTCATTGTACTAAATCCTTTACTTCTAGTAACTCACTTCATTCTCGCAAAATTCCCATCAGATAGGAAAGGACATCTTGTCACTCATTATTGTCTGTTCTTAGAAGGGAGTCCACAAGTCCAGCCTGCACCTGAAACGAGAAAAATTAAACTTCACCTTTTGGAGGAGGATATGCTGAAGGATTCATGGGTGTGTTCATGAGCATCATATCAACATGCAGGTTATGGGGACTTCCCTGCTGGTCCAGTGGTTAAGGATCCACCTTGCAGAACAGGGGATGTGGGTTCCGTCTCTGTCTAGGTAACTAAGATCCCACAGGCTTCTGAGCAACAGCCCGCGTGCCACATCGACAATCCCACA